GAAAAGCTAAAGGTAGCTCCACCAACTGCTAGTCTGGAACAGAGCATCCAAGAAGGACTTCCAAATGCAAGTGTTACAATGCAGGTCCCAGAGAGGATTGTAGTGGCAGGTATGTTTGCACTTTGGTGTAGGAAAGGCAGATAAAACTTGAACTGCTTTGTTGTACATTCAATGTGGCTCATTGTTGAGGTACAAGAAATAGGCTTATTTTGGGGGGTGTTATTCAGAAACCAAAATTTGGAAAATTCTTCCAAACTTCTAGGTAGCAGCTGATGATTAAATTTTTAAAATGTAAAAAATGTTTCATGGACTAGGAGTATTAGGGCAACTTGTAATTAAGGCAGTTAGCAAATTAAACCTTCTGAAGTATATTGCACTGAAGTTTTCTGACCAGGGCGTACCTATATTGGGGAATTATTATATGCCTCAGCTCTGTTACTCAGTTTCCTGTTCCCTTTCATTACAATATGTCTGAATTAGAATTCTGTAAATTGCCTTCACTTTACTTGGGAATGGACTCCCAAGGGAGGTGTTGCTCTCCCCTACCTTGGGGGCCTTCAATAGGAGGCTGCACAGATATTTGGCTGGGGTGTTATGACCCCGCACTCGTTCCTGCCCAGGGCAGGGGGTTGGATCTGATAATCTGTTTAGGTCCCTTCCAACCCTAAGCACTATGAAACAATGACTTCAGCAAAATTTAATTTTTATTGAATTATATTGGATTCCAAGCTGTAGCATGTTTGGGGATATATTTTAACTTGTGCATTAGGTTCAAGTCATAATTAATCCATTTTTTATTCAGAAGCATTATCTGTTGATTTCTCAGTTTATGAGCTGCACTTCTGACATGTTCCAGAAGTGGTGATTGCTGCTGCTATGTATTTGTTCTAGTTTGAAACATTCGGGCTTTCAAACTCCAAATTCTCTTTAGGTAATTATCTTTAGACAATTCATAGAATGTTCTTAGGACCTGAACCTGCAAGATGAGTGCCCTTGCTCGTAGTGAAAGAGTTGATGCTCAGTACTTCTCAAGGTCACAAATTGCGTATCTAGAAAACACTGCATAAATATGAGTAATGCCTGTAAATATCAGAAATCTCTAATTATGGCTTCTAGTAACATGCAAAATGTGCAGGAGGTAGGAACCTCAAATTATTTGGTGTGTTCAGCAAAGCACTTGGGATGTCTTTGTTGTTCATTGTACATTAATACACTTTATTCTTGCAGGTAATAGTGAAGACACTCCATTTTCCAGACCACCAGATCTTGATCTTCTGCAATCCACTGCATTCAAACCTTTGGCATTGAAAACTCCTCCTCGGGTTATTTCACTTAGTGAGCGACCACTAGATTTCCTGGACCTAGAAAAACCACCACCACAGACACCTCAAAATGAAGAGGCTAGTATTTTTATTTTATTTAGTTATAGCTGTGAAGTTTTCTATGAAAGAAGTAAAATGGGATGGTCATGGTTCTCTGGTCCAGATTAGTTTGATGCTACTAAAATAAAAGCGTTGATATAAAAATATTTTACAAAGCACTCTGTGTGCCTGCTGGCAATAACAACCCTCTAACCATCTGTCAGTTAAAATTAAATATGGAATCTAAAATGCATCATTACATTTGCCAAAAGTTGTTTTTGTTTTTTTTTTTGTCTAAGGAGAAAATTGTTCAAGAAATTTCACTTTCACTGGGATTTTCAGGTTTATTGGAAAAAAGAAACTGCAAATTTCAATGAAAAGTATTGCATTTCTTCTGTGTTTTTGTGGGAAATTCATTTAATGTCCCAAACAGCTATCACTCTACTACAGCTTGGTAGAAAGAAAAATCACCTGCATTGCAATATTTTCATTTTAATCCCTGTTTTCCACATGGGTATGCCCTAACTTGGCCTTTTTAAATCACATGTGAAAAATCTTGCTATCCATGTTAATGAAGAAATCTACAAAAAAGTGTGTTTTAAAATTCATTGTTTGACTCTAAATTAATTGTAAACATTTGGGGATATTAAATGTCCTGTGGACAGTTCAGTGAAAATATTTGTTAAATGCATATAGGTGATTAAAAAACTAATAAAATAAAAGTATGTAAAAATCTCTGAATACATCAAATCTGTGCACTTTGAGAAGTGATTTAAAAAGGGATTGGGTTATATACCAACTGCCTTGAAGAAAAGGTGACACGGTAAAGGTATATAAAACAACCCTGTTAAAGAAGCTGAATCCTAATACCAGCATAAATGGACACCAATAGCTGCTTTTCACCACTTTTAATTGTTTTTAATAAAATATATAATGAACCATTGAACTGATTACTATGTGTTACTTTTGAGTTACAGAATAGAGCAGTATTCAAAAGTGTCAGGCATCCACTATGTTAGCATAGCCTACATTAAACAAAATATTGTTAATAAAGTCAATAAAATGTAGGTCACAGGTTGAGTCAGCTCTGGCATCAGAATAGGTGAGATGACCTGAGAGATTTTTTACAAGCAGCGAAATGTTTATAAACTTCAATTTGTGAATGGAGGGTGTGGGGGGGAGGCTGGCAAGGTTCAAAGCTGGCCATTATGGTACAGACCTCTGTCTGCTAAGCATGTGAAAAAGACATGTCCCGTAGGTGCTGTATCTCAGTCAGCAAAACCACTGGGCCCAGGTGCAGCTTCTGTCGGCAGAGCTTCTGTGATCTTTTTCATGTTCCTTACCAGTATGGCTATGTTGACAAAACTTTGTAGTGTAAGCCTGGGGCTGGTCTATAGCCATTAATATAGTTCTTTGAGGGCACTTCTCAACAATTTTCTTTTCTGTTTGTTTCCTCTTTCACCCTTTATTTGGCAGGTTCGTTCAGTGGGAAGACTGAAGAGAGAACGTTCCATGAGTGAAAACGCTGCTCGTCAAAATGGCCAGTTGGTCAGAAATGATTCCATGTGAGTAGAGAGCTGAGAGGAAGTAACTTCTTGCAACTTAATAGAATTTTTTCTTCCTTCTTCTCTGCTTTTCCCATTTAATGCCTGATTCATTCATTTCAAATACTGAAACGCTGGTAAGTAATGCAAGCTTGGACACTGGGCATTTTTACATGTGCTGTTGGATCCAGTGCCAGGTGCTTTAATTAGCAAGCTGCACTGATTAAAAGTGCCTGCATGTCACATGTATCAGCATCCCTGCAGTGAAAAAATGGAGGTGAGGTGCTTTTAAACTAAAGGTCATTGAATGTGTTTTATTTCAAAGTGCCCTGCCAACACTTTCAGTGCGAGAGGAAGTGCTGATACAGGTGAGAGAGAAGGCTGCCAGAGTGTGTCAGTTTCTATGCTCCAGCAGACTCAATCAGTCAAGTCTGCTCTGACATGCTAGATTTCCAGTGCACCAGAACAGGCTCCCCACACATCTATAAGAGCCCTGTAATACTGCAGCATGTCTTCTGAATATTCTTAAATTATTTGTTCAGTCATGTATTTCTGATGCAACCTTCCTGCACACTTTTTTGTGTAAATTTGTTTTATTGTAAGCTGTGAATTTCAGCTTTAGGTCAGCTGCTTTTCAGTGTAATTTCTAGCTGTCTGCCTGTGACTTTGAAAGAGATTATCAGTTGCTAACTCTTTGCAATGCTTTGTCCCAAGTTTAGGTTATTCTTCCCAGAAACTGAGTTCCACTTTGTGCATCAAAGATGTGTATTACAGTATTTTCTCACCTATAACCTGCATCTTTCCCTCCAAAACCAGCTGCGGAAAATTGGGGTACATTATATTCAAAAGAAAAGGATTCTAATGTGTCTAGAAATTTGGCAGGGAGTAGTAGCAGCCACAGCAATGAACACTGTCACTGCTCCTTCCCTCCCTTCTCCCTGTCAAATTTCCAGACGCGTGGCAGGCTCTCCTCAGCTGCACACCAGGTCAGGCCAGTATGTGAGGCTGAGCCTCAGCCAGACCCAGTATGCTGAGTCTGACCTGGCCCCAGAGCTGGTGTGCTGAGCCAGACCGAGCACAGTGGCTTCATTATCGTGTGCCAGGACAGTCCCAGAATGCCAAATCTGGGACCATATGCTGTCTCCAGGACTACATGCTGGGTCAGATCAGCATGCAGCCCCGAACCCATGGGCCCAGTGCTTCACATGGGGCTGGGAGCAGGTTCTGCTTCCTAGCTGCTGCCTCTCACTTCAGTTGTAGATTTATTTATTTTTCTTCAAGCTCCCCTTCAAAATTAAGGTGTGTACTATATACAGAAGTGTGCTATATTTGAGAAAATACGGTATTCATTTCATGCACCCTATAAGTGTATAAGTAACTTTGGCTATAGACAAACATACCTTTTAAACTTTCCAGAGGAAAGGAGGAGGTGCTACTCAGGAACATGCATCAACTGTTACAATGTAACTATGTCCCCTGCTCCTGTAGTGCTATAAATTAGCTCAATCACTGCAACTTTAACCAGAAATGAAACAGTGCTGAAGTTTGAGTGGTTTTGCTATGCTTGCATCATCACACAAGTATGCAGATGTAACACCTATGACATCCTGTATCTATATTATTTGATATGACTGAATTATGATGTCTGCCTGTTCTTTCTCTCTTGTTATAGTATATATGAAATTTATCATTATATCTTAATGTTAAGAGAGCAGAGTGGTAGATGTCCTTTTTCTATAGAAGGCTGGGTTTGGAAGTGATGTAATTCTATATATCTTTATCCCCTTTGAATTAAAATTAATAGAACAATTAAATAGTTAAATATTGAGTGTATTTCCCACCCCCCAA